TTGTCCTATGTCTTATGCTGGTGGTTCTTCTTTATTGTTTTTCTGGGTCCAGGCTTTGTTTTTTCCCTCCATGGGCTGTTCTTATGCTCTTATGCTTAGTAACGTTGGGTTCAAGCTGCAGAGTTCATTGTTCCGTGCACTGGGTTTTCCTGGGGCTTGTGGTGGCAAAAGGGGCTGGGTGGGGAAGTTAATTTCTGAATTTAGCTGTGTTGCCCAAGTGTTTTAGTTTTGCTTTGGATGCTTCTCTAATCTCTGGCTGTGCCTTCCCTTTCAGATGAATGAGATGGTTAAATACCACCCCAATGCCCTTCTTCTGAGTTTAGTTTAGCTTTGTTTACTTATTTAATTTTTAAAATGAAGTTGCGTCAAGTTTTTATTTTGAAAGTCATTATAATCTGTTTATAAGTGACTAGAAATCTCTGCCACGTTGAACAGTGAAAGTTTTCTAGAGCTGGCATCAGTTGTTCTGGAGCAATGATGCTGAAGGGTAAGAGACTTTCTGCACTTACAGCAGTGTATTTGCTTTAATATTCCCCTTGCTCCTTGTTAGTCTTTATTCCATTATGTCAAGCCAAAAGGAATAAAGTAATTTGTGTGGAACTTAAGCATGCCGGAGAGTTTTCATTAGGCTTCACTGCTGTTTGCTTGAAACTCTGGAGACTTAGAAAAAAAAATCGTCTTTTTGGGGCAGTGCCCAAAAAAGGCCCAGATTATGATATAGTGCCATTTTGGTGCACTTTTTTGGGCCCTGCCCAGATAAAATGGCTTAAATAAAATTACTGAACTCCCCGGATGTCCAACGCAGAGAGCGTGCTCCAGCTGGTGAAGTGTCCAGCAGCAAAGTGGACTTCACCTAGCTGTGGAGACCTCAGCTTGCCAGCTGTACAGCCTGGGGACACTGCGTCACTAAACTAATGGTGCTGCCCCAAAACTCACTTGTCTCGTATGAAGATGCTTATGTGAATTTATTCACGTGCTTGATAAGCTGTTGTCTTATCTCGAAGGAATCGTGCAGTCATTTGAAGGGTTGGGGTCCGTGATTATGCCAAGGTTGGAGATTGCTGGCGTTATTTGCCATGTTCCTGCGCTGAGAATTTTACACATTGTTCATGCTGGAGGGCAGAAACAAAGAGAGAGGGATTGTGATGTGCTCAGGGAGCTCCATAGCCGCCGACAGCCCCAGGCCTTACAAAGGGCTTTGGAAAAGCATCCCTGCAGAAATGGGTGCTTGCCCCAGCCAGCAGCCATCTGCCTAGGGATCTGTCACCAGTTCCTGCAGAAGATGTGTGGGTGTAGAGGTCTCGTAGCTAGGTTTCTTCGAGAATGGTGTCACAAGTGCATGGAGGGGGTGAGAAGGGGAAGCGGCGTTGGCGGAGCCCTCCAGAAGATGGAGTCAGGGAATCCTCCACCCTCCTCCTTCCTGTCCACGAGCAGAGCGGTGGCACGGGGGGTCACAGGGATGTGCCAGCCTGGGGACTTGCGTGGGTCCATAACCCTGGGGCTTTTTCAGATGATGCTTACAAATTCCTTTTGGCTTTCAACTCAAGTCCAGGAAAGACCTGGGCTGGCTTGCTTTCTCAGTCAGATGTCTTCAGCCAGGAGAGCAAGAGCCATGAGAAACCTCTAATAAATTATTGTAACGGTGACATTTCAGAGAGACTTCCCCTGGTAGATCAGTTGGTTCTGGGGGATTTCGCTAGTTTTTGTTAAATCTGGGGGATTTAGCAATTTTTTGGATGGGGCTAACTCAGCTCCTGAGGCCTTTGAACTCTCCCTCTCCCTGGTGTTCCCTTGGGCATTAAAAACAGTTGCCAAATATGTGTAGTTCTGGGCTGTGGCTGTCACAGGAAAGCAGCACACAACCAGCCCAGCATCTACGACTCTTACATCCCCCCTTGCTGCATGATTTTGGATTTAAGAGATCTGTATTTTTAAAACCAGAAGAGCAATGAAGGGGAAGTTGCTATTAATATACGGCAGCAATGCAGGCTGCTGGTATCGGGTCTGGTGAATCAAGTGAAGTGTGCAGCTCTGTCACGGTGCTCCTCGGAGTTTGCCGTGTGGGATGCCGTTGGAGTTGAATGGGTGTGGGCCTTGGGTCTAGGCAAGAGAGGAAACACTGAAAGGAAGGTGGTCAGGAAGAGATAGCTAGCAGGTGTGGTTTTATTGAACAAGCTGAGGTCATCCCTTCCAAGGGTTGGGTCACCGCTGATCCTGTTGTCTCCGTCTGCTCATCTGACGTACTATCATCTTCTGGAAACCATTCATATGCTCCTGCACATCGCCCAGCTTTTGCTTTCTTAATTAGACATGGCCTGACATTGTGTGGAGCGGGGGGGGGTGCATGTTTAAAGAGTTTGGTCTAAAGAAAATACTGTTGGTGTCAGGAGAATGCTTTAAAGCCCCAGTTGTGATTGAAACCCGTTGCTTGAGGTGCTGTTTACCCACGTTGAGAAGAGATGGCTTGGGTATGAGTTGGCTCAGTGTCCGCTGGAGCTGGAGTCTCCTCCGTCTGAGGCCGAGGATCTTCTTGCATGATGTTCCCCCATCTAAATGTGTTCTCATCCCTGGCTGGAGAAAGGTGTGACATCTCCTGGTCCTGTTGCACACAGCAGTGCAGGCAGTGGAGAGGTTACTTCTCCAAAGGATTTGGAAAACTGAGCCTAGGAAGTTGCAGACTATGAGAAAATCCACCTGTGTACCTAAGATAAATCTGTTAACATGAAACAAGCGTTGGGGCTCCTGATAAAACCTGTGGAGGCCGATGCATACTTTGACACCCATTTCCCTGAGTCGGGCACTGCTTTGATCAGATCTCATTACACTGGGAAGGCTTGAAGCACGGTTATCGTGGAGTGGCTGTGCTGAGCACAGAGAGACGGTGGTCACGTTAGCTCCTGACTCGACTTCGCTGACATGGCTTCCTCTTCCTCACCGCTGCTGCTGCTCTGTGGCTGCCCCGTCCTCTGGACCCTCTCGCTCTTCCTCATGCCTGATCCTCTGTGTGGCAATCAGAGAGGTTTTTCAACAAGAGACCCTGATGCTTTCACCTTGCCTGACTTGAATCATTTGGTCCCATGGTTCTGGGCTACCACGGGGCAGCAGTGCTGCACCTTGGACTATTTTTGTGGTAGGATGTTTGGCATGTCCCAGACCTTCATTACAGCCATGTGTTTGGAGATGGGAGAGGACAGCATGAGGACTTAAAGCACAGAAATGTGCGTGAGCATGCAAAACTCTTGATTCCTGTTGCCAACCTATAACCCAACAACTGGCAGCAATCTTTGTGGTCGGAATAAGTGGGGGTGCCTGACCTCGGGTGTGATGTGAAGCCAAGTCACTCGGTCATCGTGGGAGGACCGTGGTGAGGGTGCAGGGATTGGGGCCGGTGGGGCAGAGCACCTGTGCCCTCACTGGCATTGCTGGATGCGGGCAGCACTTGGTTGCTGCTGTGGTGTGCTTAGATCGACTCGCCTTGGTTTTATATTTGCCAGGCCTGAGCTGTAGTTGTCAGGGTCTCGCATGAGGATGGGAGATCATGTGAAACAGAAAAAAATACACCTTTATTTGTGGCTGCCAGTCCCAGCCCTGTGCTAAGGGAACTGTGGCTGATGGGACTTGCAACAGCTTGCGATTTTGCTCCTCTCTCCTGGGTGGGCGCCCCGCCATGTCCAACGAGGCTGCTTGTTTCACTCACGGGTTTATAGCTGAACACAACCACTGCTGGGGAACCGAATTAGTCTTCTGTAGGGTGTGCTGGGGGAGGTTGGTGGCTGTCCTCATGGGCAGGGGCCGGTAGCAGACCTTGACACCCTGTGCAGAGGAGCTGCGTTGCCCCACGCCAGCCTGCTCCCACTGCACTGACATAGCCAGGCCATTAAATATGTATAAGGAGGAGAAAGCACGTTCCTTTGCTTTTTATAAATAATTGCTGCGCTGTGAGGAGCGAGTGTTTAGCGTAATTACTGTGGGGGAATAAACAAATTACGACAGTTTGCGAGAAGGGAAGATCTGCCCTTACCCCTTGACAGCCTGATGCTGTCAATGAGGCGGCCGGGGGGCTCCCACCCATGCGGGTTTGGGGAAGGATTTCGTCTGGGGGAGCTGGAGGATTTAGTGGCCGACTTGGTGACTTGCAAGGAAGCTCTTTCTGCTGGGGCGCAGCTGGAATAGCAGGCAGTGACATTTGCTAGTTGGAGTTCAAACAAAGATCCCTGTATCGGCTTTATTAGCGAGGCAGCGCCAGGGACACTGGTGGATGTGTCCTGCCCCCGGCCCCTGCCCTCCTCCGGTTCCTCTCTGTCTCCCTGTGCTTCGGGCAATGCCTCTCCGAAGGAGGAATTTGGAGGCGAAGGACTTGTGTTGAAAGTGCTTTGTGTGAGACGTCAGCTCGGGGCTGTAAACAGCGCGTGGTTTTGCTCAAAGTACAGAGCTGCCACTGGCAGCATTTTTCCATGAAGGCAAAGGCTGGAAACCTCCTGGCACGGAAGGCTGTGCTGCTGCGCAGCCGTAGCTGTGGGAGGAAAGTCTCTCTGTGGAGCACTCCCATTGCGAAGAAAAAAAAAAAAAAGGCAAGGCAAGGGAGCAGCATAGCGGTTTCCCTGAGCTGTTTGTTTTAATTGTACAATTTCTGTTCCATGTGGTGCTCGTTGAGTGGGATTTGCTGATGAAAGATCGACATTCACCTCTTTGTGTAAGCATGGAGTGAGTTTTGGAGGTCTTGGGCATATGCAGTTGTCTGTATATTGGGTTTTTGTGGATAACTGCTGCACCTGAGATGGCAAATCTGTTAATTGTTAGTATAGTTGATATAACTATCAATATAAACAAACACATATCTGTATTTCACTTGTGTATTTATTTGATGCCTTTATAATCAGGGAACTCGGACCTGGTGATTCCTGAACTCCCCTGCCGTGCCCTGTCCTGTCCTGTCCCATCTCTCTTTTCTCCTGCACTTAACCGAGTAGACCAGTCAAGCGCAATTCTCTCTTTCCTTCTTTCTTTCAGACCCGGACTGGGCATCCCACAGCCTAGGGATCTTCATCTGCTTGAATTGTTCAGGAATCCATCGCAATATTCCCCAAGTCAGCAAAGTGAAGTCGGTCCGTCTGGATGACTGGGATGATGCTCAAGTGGAGGTACGTGCATCTGAGACTTGAAGTACCAGGGAGTTTGGGTTGCTGCATTGTACCAGCAAAGCTGTAAAACAGTCCTTTCTAAAGTTGCCACAACAAATGTGATTTCAGAAAACATGTCTAGATTATTCCTGAATGTGGGAATGAGGTCCATGATGCTGACGGAAAAACAGAGTAGCCGTTTCCTGAAGAAGTTGTGAGGGTTTCCCCCACACCTATAAAAATATCAATTAAATAGAGTGTGTAGAAATGACAAATTTTAAATGAATTGCCTTTGGTCTATCACGTTACCTCTAGCCTAGACTAGACAGTAGGCTGGACCTCTGGTCTGCCACCCCTGCCCAGCTCGGCTGTTTCTGGCTTTGTTCCACTTAGTGTTGAAGACTCTTAAACTCACTTCTTGAAGAACTGAACCCTCACAGAATAAATTCTCTCTATTTATGCAACACGCCTGCCTAGGTTTGGGTGATGTTGCTAAAGGCAAACCTACCCAGGAGACGTATATGCTTGGACTATTTGTGTCTTTAAAGGCTTGAAGAACGCTATCGGTCATTGATCTTTATCTTGTATGTTGTAGATTCGAGGTTTTTCTGAAAGCCGCAGCTCATGGAGTCATGTGTTTTTTGAGGAAAATAAACCTTTGTTTTGCATGGGTTTTCTCTTCCCTGATTTTTTTTTGAGAGTAGATTGAATATGTAAACTCAAGAAGCTCAAAAACATGAAAATAATGAAAAAAAAATCTTGGGGGTGGGGGAAGAAAAAGCTTAGCTGCTTGCTATGCTTGTATGCTTGGCATTTGATACAACACAAAATATATTTGGCATGGCTGCCTGGAAAAGGATGGTTTTTTTACACTAATAAAGTTACTTTCATTAAATGAAACTTATGAATAGGGAAATATGTGGTTTTGTTTGCAGTGTTCTCAATTAGTCATCTTTATAAAAAAATCAGAAGGAAAGGAGGGCTGTCAGGGCAGATAAAATTTTTTCAATTATTTATTTATTTATTCATTTATTTTTCATATTTTAAGCTTCTTTCTGAGGTTGCTGGCATGGCTTTGCAAAAATAAAATTATCTTTTTGGAACAAGTGATGTGATACAAAGTAAACGGCGTATTGTCAGAGACTGTTACCTTGCTGGAGCCGTAACACATGGAGACTTAAAGTTAGTGTTGGGTTTTGCCCTCTGATTGCCTAATTTCTACGCTGGATTCCCTGGGAGCCATCTCGTTCCCGTGCCTGTGAGTGGGAAATGCCACTGTGTGCTGCCTTCTGCACCCCTGGGGACCAGTGGGGATCGGGCATGTGTGACTGGGACACAGACCTGTCCCCAGCATCGTATTAAGCTGGGGGGAGCCCTGCAATAATAATCAATACTAATTTCTGAGCCCGGGTTTGCAGGCACAGCCTTTACAGCATCCCTTCTGTGCACAGTCCTGGGGAAACCTCAGTAAGTGAACAGAGGCCCCATCCCAATAATTTTATTACTTTCTAGAAACAAAAGAGGACAAGGGAAAATACCGTTAACACTTTTTAATTCTTTCTGTTTTTTCTCTTCTTTTCACAGTTTATGGCCTCAAATGGAAACAATGTAGCAAAAGCAAAATATGAATCTAAAATGCCACCGTTTTATTACAAGCCAACGTTTCTTGACTGTCAGTAAGTAAATACCTTTGCTGGTAAACACCATTTATTTGTTTGTGCAGCTGCAGCCTCTGTAATATTTTAGTTTCAGCATGATACTTTTTTTTTTTTTAGCCACAAAGGAGGTTTCATTTATAAAAGGCTCTGAAAATCTTTGTTCTTCTGCACACATATGGTAGAGTTTATACTACGTGTGGGATCTTATTAAATAAGTACAGTTGAGATGATGCAGGGAAGTCAATAGTTTGTCTGTTCCCCAGACTCTTCCAAGTTTCTAAAGCTGCAAAAATGCCAATTTCTACCCATTGATTTCCTCTGCCTTTTCAGATAGTCCTTCTGCATCAAAACAGAACTTGCTTATCTGTTATATGAGATGCTAGGTTACTTGTAATACAAAAACACTGGGGTTTAGTGCCAAAGTGGTGGATTTTCTTTTTCTGCCGAAGTGACAAATAGTATCCTCTGTGAAGATGAGTGAAAAGATATTGTCTCCCATACAGTGTAGAGTAAACCTTCCTAGTAAGCTGGGGTAGACTTTGTAGACCAAGAGGGCTGAGTGGCCAGAACGTGCTGTACCGTCCAGAGAGCAAGAAGATGAACTGAAATTGGTTTTTAGGGTCCAGTCCTGCAGAGTACCCAGGGGGGGTTTGTATCTTTGTAAAACCAGTCTTCACAGAGGGTCTGGAGGGCATAATTTCCAGAGCCAGTACTTTAGTATTAGCAGACTGGTGAGTACTGGTGCCTGAGATCCCTCCCGATATTGCAGCTTTAACTGGGTGTCACTAGTTGAAGAGGGAGGTGTGGTTCGGTGGCGTGGCGGTGGGGTGAAAACAGTTTGCAAGGCTCTGAGCAGCCAGATGTTGTATTCAAGCATTGTAAGAGGTGCCCAAAACAGAAGTACTGGAAGGGTTCGTAGGGCTCCCTGCGTGAGATACTAGCCTTTGAGTAGGAAGGCTCTGCTGCGTTCCCCAAATCTGAAATAATACTGAAGGTGGGCCAAAGGGTTCATGAATACCTGTGCTCGTCCTCGAGGTGACTTTATCTATATTTTTAATCTTGTAATAGCTATTAGGAAGAGTTATTGTCTTCCTATATCATGCAAAAAGCCTTTTATAGTAAAGACAAAAGGCCTGTGAAGTATCTTGGTGATGCATCTGTTACCTGCTATTTGATGATGCTCAAATGCTAAATCTGGGAAGGCCCAGGTGTGAGCTGCACTGCCTGGCCTGACAATAAAAAAACCCCCATCCATTTATGCAGTGTTCCCAGATCTTGGTTTTGATCTAAAATGGCTTCTGGCAATGGCTTCCGTGGTTCCTACAAGTACAGAAATTATTTGAGGACTGGCAAAGCAACTGTGTACTGTGGAGGGGCACACTCTGCATGTGTTGTGATTATCTTGCTAGGATTATTTTTCTCAAGTCAAAAAAGCCCCAGCCTCTTACCTTTCCTATTGCTGGAACACCTCTGCCTTTGTGGGAGGGAGCCCAAGGAGAAGATGTCAGGAAGGCACTCCCAGCTGGAGCAATCCTGCAGGTCCAGGGGAGGAGATGGTGCAAATTCAGCTGAACGTGGCAGCGCCTTTGTTTTTGGTTTTGGTTTTGGGTTTTGTTTTTTTTTTTTTCATTTCAGAAAAACAGCTTCAGCAAAGTGACTTTTTGTTTTTAAACCTGTCTCTCCCAAGGCAGAGAGGGGGAAAAACCTTCGTATGTTTGACCATGTTGGGAGTTGAGGACCTTTCAAGTTCTTCTCCTACCTTGAACTGTCCTTCAAGCATCACCCCTGGGTCCTGGCTTAGGGAAGGTGGGGAAGATGCTTCATGTGGGGTTTCCTGGGGACTCAGAAGTCTGGGGAGCGTGGAGAGCTTGGGGAGCTTGGGGTGCCCTTCTTCTTCCTTGTATCAAAGAGACACTAAGGAGAAGGTAAAGGAAATAAGCAGGAATAACACTTTGCCAAAAGACTTTTTGTTTCAACCCAGCTCTGTGGAAAAGCAAGAGAGAAATTATCAGTGATTTTCCTTCTGTAGATGCACCATTCTTTGCCAGCAGCTGGGAGGTGGTTGCCATCCTTGGTGAACAGACAGCTCTTGTGAACTGTCATGGTCCTGAGAGGATCCAGTACCACGTTTGTATCGCTGAGCTCCAAAATCCCAGCAGGCGGCTGTGCTGTTTTGTGACTTGCATGTACTTGTGATGTCAAGGATGGAGAAGCAAGATTTTTCACCTAGTTGTCATTGGTAGGAGAAACACAATTCCAGGGGATTTTAATTTTGTTTATTCTTAAGCATCGGTTAAATTCAATTAGATGTTGCACTCCAGCCTTAGCTGCTGTTTCGTCCTTACAGGGCAGGGGCCTATTTGATATTTAGGTTGTTCAGGAGCAGAATCCTGGTTCTTTTCCATGCCCCATCCCTGCCCAAGAGGGTGCACAGCTCGTGCTGGGGGAGCCTGGCTGGAAGTGGGGCAGGTCCCTCTGCAGCTTGGGGCGTCCTGAAATCTGGATGCAAATCAAACCCAACTCTCCTTGCACGGGTCAGCCTGAGAGATAGTGAAAGCTTGCCCTGCAGCTCAGGCAGCTTAGAGACCACAAGCATTTTCATTTCTTCTGCTGTCGGGCTGGCAGAAATGTCTGTGGCTGGTTCTGTGCTTGGTTGGTTTGGCTTCCTTTGATAATGCAGCTCAGGCTTTGCTGCTACGATATTTTTCTTCCTCCATCCTGTGGTGCAGTTGCGCTCTGGGGAGCTTTGCCGAGTGGTGGCTGAGCTCCGACCGCAGCCCTGTCAAAGCTGTCTGCGAGCACAGAGGGACCGTGCTGGCGCTCGGCCGGCGGTGCTGGGGCGGCTGCTCTATCCACAGCCCTCCCTGATGCCCAATGGAGAGGCATGTTGCTGGGCTTATAACCTGTGAAAAACAGGAGCAGGAGGGTTAAGGGGTTTTTTTTGTTGTTGTTGCTGTTGGTTTTGGTTATTTATTTATTTCTTGATTGGGAGGATGAGGCAAGGCTAGTCTTCCTGCAAGCAGCTGGAAGACCAATTTCTGGCCCTTTTGTGCTCCCAGCTTGTGCCTGTTTTGCACTGGGACAATTTTCAGCCTGGATGCCCTGATTTCTGAACTGCGCCTGGAGCTCTGCTCATGTAGGTGTTCCCCAGACCGGCGCTGCTGGGTCTGTGCCATAGCAGCAGGGTGCATTGGGATAGATGTGATCTCCTGCAGTAACAGATCTCCTTCTGACGCTGCTGCAGTATAAGCAGCTGTGGGTACGTTGCATGTTGGGAATGTTTCAGGGATGGTGTGTCAGGTTGTATTTTTCTTTCTCTAGTTAGAGGCTCTCTCTGCCTTTCAACAGATACATGCTAAACAAGAGCAGGGGAGCGCTGCTTTTTGAAGGGGTATATATTTAGCTTTCTCCCCGCCTCACTGCAGTCCAGTCACTGCAATAGCATGAGTTGTTCTCGGCTTGCAGCCCTGGGTAGCATCACAACGGATGACACCTCCATCCAGCGCTGGCACCGTGCTGTTGTGTGCCGACCCACATTCTGCAGCATCAAGAGGTTTTGATGCTTCTAATTATGACAACCTGTGCTGGCCAGCCTGGGCAGGCTTTGTGGGAGCTGCCCTCAGACTCGGCGTGGCAGGATGCTGACGTATGAGCCGTAATAAGGATAAGCTGTTTGTTCATTTGAAGCTTCTTAATTTTGTAATGCTACTTATGGAATCCCTCTACTTTGGTTGGTTGAAGAATTGCAAAATTCAGAGCAAGAGGGAAGAAGTGCTGCAGTGCCAGCTTGTCCTTTTTTCTTCTTGCCTACGGTGTTGTGTTTGACTGCTTGGGAAATACGTGGTGTTTGCTTGCTGCATCTGGCTTCTGCATCCTCCAGAAATGCCATTGTGGCTTCCTGCCTCTGTCAGGCACTTGGTGAAGGTTAGAGAAGTTGGAGGGGTGCTCTGGAATTGCCCAGGGAAAATTTACCAGCTGTGCCTAGGCAAAAAAATCACTCAACCAAAAAAAAAAATCCCCTTCTGTCCTCTCCTCTTATCTTCTGTCTGCCAGCAACTTGGCCTATGCATCAGGAGCAGTGAGCAGAGCAGCCAACTCTGTACCACTGTGGAGTCCCTGAGACTTGAACAAATCCCAGACTATGGGATGTTCCTACACCACCGTGGCATTGGCCCAAAGAGCCTTGGGTGAGGAACTTAAACTACAAAAACCCTCATTGGATGGTCACAAGTGGTCATGGCCCAGCTTTGTACACCTGTAAAACAGCCTTTTCTGGGGCAAATACACTGCAAGCACATGGTTGAGTTTTGAGTCACCAGTGAGCAACAGGGGTAGCATCGCTTTCAAGTAAAAGCAAAGGAAAAAGGCTTTGTTCAGCCATGTGTTTGGCTGAAAACTGATAGAAGAAGATGGAGACAAACTCTTACTGGGCTTTTGCAGTACTGGAAGTACATCCATGTCCCTGCCCAATACTTAACGTCATTTTCTGTTGCCTTTTTGCTTGATTTGGGAACACAGAGCATCGTTATGCGGAACTGTGTATGAGCTGCAGTGCATTGCTCTGCTCCTCTCTCTGTGCTTGCATAAGTGGGAGCTACATCTGCTCCTTATGCAGAACACTTACATCTACTGACTGCCAGTACATTTGAGTACCTTGGTAGGAAAAAATGGGGCAGAATGAAATGGCATGAGTTGTACTGGGTGGTTGTCTTATCTGGAACAAGATGAGACATCAGTCAGATAGAGGATGTATCCCAGTGAGGCTCACAGCTTGTGGAGTCATCTATATAGTCATCTGAAGAAGAACAGTTGTTAGCAGAAGTGGCTCATTGTATTATGGTACGATTAAAATGTGTGGAGAGAAAATTGCCTAGTAAATCCCTGGATTTTTTTTTCTTACTTTATCATTTGAAGTTTGGTTCATTGAGGAGCTACCAAGCCCACCACCTCAGTCTGGTGTCTGAAGGTCAGTCTGGCCCCCTCTCCTTCCATGCATGGGGCATAATGATGGTCACAGA